TTAGGTGTAGAGATTTGCATTGCTACCCCAGGTCGTCTCATTGACTTCCTGGAGTGTGGTAAGACTAATTTGCGTCGTTGTACCTATCTGGTGCTGGATGAAGCTGACCGCATGCTGGACATGGGATTTGAACCTCAGATCCGCAAGATAGTGGAACAAATTCGGGTAGGTTGTGTTATTTTCTGACCCTTGGGCGATCAATAATCTCATTGGTTTGGTCTCACACTAAAGTAAAGTGTTTCACTACAAACATTTCTATAACCTGGCTGCTTTATTCATGACACATTTTTAGGAATTAAATACATAGCCACACAAGTTGACCAAATCACTTGTGACCAATACTCGTAGTTCAGAACTCACCCAGATTACTGATACAATATATTGGACTGGTTCATTTAATTATTTAACCGATAAATACTTACTTTCAAGCCGCATCCTTTTTGTCCCAACAGCCAGATCGTCAGACCCTGATGTGGAGCGCCACCTGGCCTAAGGAAGTTCGCCAGCTGGCTGAGGACTTCCTGAAGGACTATGTTCAGATCAACATTGGGGCACTGCAGCTCAGTGCCAACCACAACATCCTGCAGATAGTTGATGTTTGCAATGACATGGAGAAGGAGGACAAGTGAGTGAAGGATCCCTACCTCTTTTATTAGTGTGATGGGGGGAGGAAAACCTTCTATTAGTCCTCTTCTTTGAAAACCTTGTTTCATAGTCACATAGTTAAAGAACAAATTGTTTATTTAATCTTACTTCAGTGTTTGACTGTAATGCATCAGTAGAAACATAATGTTCATTTGGTGAAAAAAATATTTTTTGTCTTATCTTTTTTTTAATCTCTTCTGTGTCAGACTGATCCGTTTGCTGGAGGAGATAATGAGTGAAAAGGAGAACAAGACTATTATATTTGTGGAGACCAAAAGGCGTTGTGATGAGCTCACCAGGAGGATGAGAAGAGATGGGTAAGGATCTCCTCTTCCATCCACTTAAATAAATATACTTTTTAATTCTGCTGTTTATCTGGACAGGTAACATTCAGGCTATTCCCAATGATAACTTGTCTCTTACTTATTGTTCGATAGTGTTTAATATCCAATATGTCTGTCACAGGTGGCCAGCAATGGGAATTCATGGAGACAAGAGCCAGCAGGAGAGGGACTGGGTCCTTAATGGTGAGATGTAATAAATAACTTGGCAGGTTACAATTAAAAAAATAACAGCGTTAACTAATCCTTCTCACAAGCTGCTCTGTATTTAAATTAAATACTGCTCCTCTCCCTTCAGAGTTCAGATATGGCAAAGCTCCAATCCTCATCGCTACCGATGTGGCCTCCCGTGGCTTGGGTCAGTATGACATTGAGTATTACCACTTTTTTTTATCAGTGTTACACTTTTTTTTAAAGAAAGTTGGTTTGCTTTCTTTAACTTTTCTATGCATTTTCTGAGTTTTTCTCACCTTAAGGTGCAGTCTTTGTGGCAGGCGCTAGGCATGACAGTTCCAGGCCTCGAGAGGGAGAAGGATGACATATTGGAAGTGCTCAACTGGCTTGCCACCCAGTGGGCCTAGAGAGGTGAAAGCTCTGTGTGCCAGTGATCTTCAAAAGGCTGTGTGGCTAAGCCTTTGTCACTGATATGGTGTTGACACACACATCTGTTCTCTGTCCATGGATTTCACCTGACAAATGCCATCCAGCTGTTTCCAACTCAAACCTAAAAGAAAAAATATATATATCCTTTGTCGTGACTTTTGCCTTGCATGCTTTTGTGTTAGAGAGCGCTGTATTGCAAGTCACTTGTTTGAGATTTGGAACAATAGTTACCTTTCGGAGCTTGTATCACATAGCATGGGTAAGCTTTCAGTTGTTTTCTTTCCCGTCAAAGTGCTGGATTTTCTTGAAATGGAGAGAGCAGTTTGAAATATTGTATTTGTCTCTGAAAATTGATGAGACCTGGCACATGTGTTTAGGGGGTAGTGGGAACATCTAGTGAGAGGAAAAAGAGAGTGAGACAGCTCAAACCAAAGTTCCTCCCTCGCCTGCGTTTTAAAGTCATGTCGAGACCTGCCAACGAGAGACATTTTCTCAAGTGAACACTGGCTTCTTGGAAGATCTTGCCTTGATGAGACTGATGAAGGGGGCAGGGGGAATTCTTCCGTGCTCGGTGAGGGGTCCCACAGGGTTCAATGCTTGGGCCTTTGTCATTTTTTTTGAAGGGGCCCCTGTTCAAATTAGAACTTGGTCTATTTTATCTTGGCAAGACTTGCAGTGCGGCCTTTAATATCAAGCTTCTTTTGAGAGTGTACTGGGAAAAATGGACCTGCAAAAATGTACCCCTGAATGGTCCTATATTGGCACATGAGGAGGCCCCAGTGCACATCGAGGCCCAACTGCGTAGAAGCTCCTGGATGTCACTTGACAATTTGTGGGGGATTTCGCTGCATTGGGAAAGGACTAGTGAATGCATACTCCTTTATGGTAAGACTTAAATCCATTGTTTTTCTCCCTTGGTTAACAAAAGGGAGAGTGAATGTCTTTTGGATCTTTTTGATTATGGTAAGCAATTGGAGTGTGCATCGTTTCTCTCTTCCCACAGTAGTATTCCCATGGAGTAGATGTATACACAATCTTATGTTGTATTAACACTTTTCCCTCCACAGCCTAACGACCGTTTTTTCTTCCCCCAGCTTTCACAGTTGCTAACTTTTCCCTTTGATCTGGCTGTTGTGGTGTGCAAAATCCTTTGTGGCCTCCATGTTTTGTTTTGCCACACTGCAACACTTTCACAGATGTGGAGGATGTGAAATTTGTCATCAATTATGACTACCCTAACTCCTCCGAGGATTATATCCACCGCATTGGACGCACAGCCCGGAGTCAAAAAACGGGCACAGCCTACACCTTTTTCACCCCTAACAACATGAAACAAGCCAGTGACCTCATAGCTGTGCTGCGCGAGGCCAACCAGGCCATTAACCCCAAGCTGATCCAAATGGCAGAGGACAGAGGAGGTAACATTTGACATTTCTGTTTATTAATGGTTTTCAAGGAAGATGTAGTATATTTTTAGTCGATGTGAGAATTGGTATTTAGTCTCAACTTTGTGTCACTGATTTATATTGTATGCGTCTTTATTTAGAATGTGTATCCATGAACACTGACAAACTGTAAATGACCCCTTTTTTTAATCATTGAGATTCTTCTCATGTCAGATCAGTCTATAGAGGGTTGATTTGATTTTAGATGTGGATATATCCATTTCTGGAAAGGGCTTGTTTTATCTTACACTCTCCTGTCTCTATCTCATGCAGGTCGTGGAAGGGGTGGAAGAGGTGGCTACAAGGATGACCGTCGGGATAGGTATTCTGGGGGTGGGAGGAGTAACTTCGGAGGTACTAGCTACAGGGACGGGGATAGAGGGTTTGGCGGTGGGCCGAAGAGTGCCTTTGGTGGTAATAAGGCCCAAAATGGTGGCAGCTATGGAGGCAGTGGTAACTCTAGTGGTAGCTATGGAAACAACAACTACAGCAACAGTAATGGACAGGGTAATTTCCCCACAAACCAGGTGGGTGCGTTTGGAAACCAAAGCTTCCAGGGCCCCCCTCAGTTTGGGGGCATGCAGAGGGCTGCTCAGAATGGCATGAACCACCCACCATTCCCATTCAACTCTCAGCCACCACCACAGGCCCAACAGCCTCCACCACCACCAATGGTGCCCTACCCCATGCCACCACCCTTCCCACAGTAGATAAGTTATGCGCACAATAAATTGAACCAACATGATTTTGGTATAGTCTTGAAATATTACAGTATGATTATTATTATTATTATTATTATTATTATTATTATCCTTTGTACTGTTTAACTTTGTTTTGCTTACAGCAGGGTTGGAATTATCCAGTAAACCCAGAGCATTATTTTGGAGTCATAAAAAAAAATCTCCTAATGTGCAATTATGATTGCAGCACTTTTCCTTGACTGTTTTTTGTTACATTCCTCAGTAATTTATTTTTACTAGGTAATGCTGTGTTTTCAGTTTTCAGTCGTATGTTTTAATAGTGGTGTTATGAAGATCATTTAAAAAGGGTAAGTGTGACCCTTTTAAATAAAAATAAGAAAATGGGACCTGCGTGTTGTGTTTACTGTATGGGAAGGTTGGGTTGATAGAACTATTAAAACTGAATTTTTTTTTATGTCGATCTTGGTCCTTCTTAACCACATGTGTGAACCTAGCTATATCACAAATGCCTAATTCCTGAGAAGATTTGTGACAATACCTTCAAGGTTAAAAAGGGAGTAGGAACAAAGGCAGATGGACAGAAAAAGTCACTTTACCATTGGTGTACTAATATTGCGATTCTTCCTTTTTCAACCCACCTGAACGCAAAAGTGCATATTACGCTAAGACTAGTTCAGGGCTGCAGTTACCACCAGTGTTACCAGGACAATGAGGTAATGTCCTTAAGTAATATCCCCCTTGGATATATGATGGCTAGTTGCAATATTAGCATTTCTATCTTTAAATGATTACTTAAATGTATCCTTCTACTTTTAAAAACAACTAAACATAAATTAAGAATTTCCTCAACAGCACTTTATCCAAGTCAATGGAGAACAGACTTAAAAAATGTTATAAGACAACACTGAAGAAGTGAAAAAACAATCTGTAATTTGTTTAATCACAGTATGTGTGTTACGGTGTATATCCAACATAATATAAAGAAAACTAGGCAAGCAATTCATATAGACATTTTTATTAATGTTCTTAAGGACATTCACATTATAATGAACTGAATCTTTATAGCACTATGATTTAAAAAATATATATGTTTTCGATACATTTATTTTTGACCTATGATGCATATATTTTTTCTTAAAATTGTATATTATTTATTAAACCATATTTTTGTGGACACAGTACTGTTTTCCAAAAACAAAAAAAACACCTTCTGAAAGAATGTTCCATAACCCGGATGTAATATGTCACTTCCGGGTCATCACATGTACCTCCTGTGAATTTCAAAAATGTATCATGCGGCTATCTTTGTGTATTTACTGTGACAACAGTAGTTAGAAACTGTCCGGTGAGTGCATGTTGTTGTAAATGCACTGACATGCTCTGATAGTTTGATGTGTGCAACGTTAGCATGCATGCCGTTAGCTTAGCTAAAGTAACGCTGACCGGACGGAGGATGGAGCCTCCTCTCACTTTTTTTATGTTTTAAGAACGGTTACTTGCTAGATTTAGGTCTAGCAATTATTGAAAAGAAATATTTATATAACATTGGCATTTAAGTTTTATTTCGACTGTCTGTGGTCTTTCAGGAGGGGTTTACTCATGAGAAGTTATCACTGCAATAGACAATCTTTGGATTAACCCCTCTCAACCTTCTCATCATGTTATATTGCTGTGTCAGAAACGTTTGCAAATTGAAACCCTCACCGTGCAGAGTGACCTTGGCTCTGCAACACACCAGGAGACTCTGCAGTTCACCCCCTGGGGAGGGTGTGGATCAAGTGAGGACTTTGCTGGAGCTCTGTGTGGACAGGCACTACGTTTCACCGGGTCAGCCTAACACGGAGCTCCTTCAGCGGGGGATGAGCTGCTGTTATGGGCCTCTGGGCATGGAGCTGAGGAGAAACCTGCTGCAGCAATGGTGGCTCTCTGTGACCGGATCCACACAGCAGGTGTTTGGGATAAACACTCTGAGCAGCAGTAAGGGTACAGCAACAGATGGACTGAGGATTGTTGAGAGTGAACAGTTAAAACACATATTTGAACAGAAAGAACTGAGCAAGCAGCAGCTCCTGCAGAAGATACAAACACTCATCCAGAGGTCCCCTTCACTGAGGACAGGCTTTCTTCAAGGTAGAGTTCTGCATAACATATTCCACAGAGATTCACTCTTTGATTATTATATCTTTGCAACTTGATGTATGGGGAAGTTTGAGTAGTAAAATGATTTCAACTTAATAAAAACAATTCTCACGCAACTTAACATAACCAAGTCATGTTGGTTTTTAGGGGGAAAAAACGTGACAATACCAAGATATAAGACAGGTGATGCATTCAATTTACTAATTATGCAAATAAAGGTGGACAATATTTTTGGCAGATTGGACTCAAGCCAGTTAATTGTAATCATCGTCTTCGCTATTAACACAAGAGCTTTGAGTACATACAGTATATATCAGTTGTTTTTCCCAGTAGCCATCAACTTATGTAGTTTAAATTGTCTTAACCTTTTCTATTATCTTCTAGTTATGCCTAAGAAAACGATGATGATTACAAAATATTACACCAGTCATCTTGTAATGGGATGAAAAGATAAAGCAGCATTACCTTTTAACAAAACAATGAAACTCCTGTTTTCCACCCTGATCATTTACTTTGTTGGAGTAAGAAGTAAAATAAGTTTATTAAAAAAACAACCCCAGTTAAGTAAGTGTTTTTTCTCAGGTGCCTTGGAGCAATTTGTCCCCTCGTTGGAGCTGGTGAACAGGAAGCTGCCCTTCGGCCTGGCTGAGACTGGGCTGTGCTTTCAGCCCTCGGATGGCTCTGGTTGGTGAGGCTTCATCTACTGCCTGTCTGTGGGTGTGTGGACACCATGGTGGACACGTATACTTGTTAAAAGGATATTCTTGCTCTACTCATATTCCAGATGGGATTTTGAAACCCTTCATTCTAAGTATTGCTTGACAAGTTGATGTTATTAACACCTGTATGTTATATGAAGACAAGTATTTGGTCATAACCAAAGTAATCTGCCTTAATTTGAAAAAGTATTTATTTGTGCTATATTTCACAAAAATAATTACTCTTTAATACAGTTAACTGCTAAAATATGGGTCCCAAAGTATTAATGAAAACATTTTTTCCCGCCAGCCCAGCTGAGGTGACCCAGGCGTCTCTGGTGTGGTTCTGTCCTCCTCGAACCTCTTCTCAGTGGCTGGATCACTGGAACCGACAGAGACTCAAGTGGTGGAGGAAAGTGAGTATTGTTAAATATGAGTATATCAGAGGAATCAATCGAAACAGATCCTTATCATTTCTAAGATGCACACACATTATTCAAATGTTGAAAACATGACGTATTCTCATGTTTTACTGATTTGCTTGGATAACAATAAATCTACAATCACATGGTGGTTATACTGTATAATATTTGTCAAAATTGTGTCTTAAAAATATCTAAATATCTTTCGACCCCATCATTGATACTTAAAGGAGACATGTCATGCTTTTCCGGTTATTACCCGTCCCCTTGTGTGTTATGAAGGTTTTTATGCATGTAAATGGTCTGCAGAGTCAAAAACCCTCAAAGTACACCCTGTAGGGAGTAAAACTCTAACACAGAAAAGACCTCCCCAAAACGCCTCGCTGGAACTTTCTCATGTTCTTCCATGTTCTTCCTGGACATTGTGACGTGTGAACACCCAGTAGCCACGCCCAGAGCTATGACGCGATACGGTCATGCGGTACCCGGAACAAAATGGACCAATCCGTGGAGCTGTTACGTTACGTCCGCGGAGCCGTTAAGCCCTCGCTGATTGGTCCAAATTGACCAATCCACGGACTTCCTCACACACTCTCTGCTGATTTCTCCTCCCTGGCTGCAGGCTGATAACAAACAGTTGGGATCGCGGCGAAATTCTCTCTGCAGACCCATTCTCACAGCGTTTATCAACCTTTTTCTTACTCAATATCAAGCCACACTTATTGTTTTTACTTCGGCTGTGACTTTGTGTGTGCTCAGGATGAGTTTGGCTGTGTTTCGCTATGTATCCTAAACAAGGAAACAACACCTCCACGGAGCTCAGCGCGATTCACAACGTCCCGACCAATCAGAGCACACTGTGCTCACAGGGAGGGTGGGGGCTGGAGCTATTGGAGCTACAACGAGCCGTTAAAGGCAGAGAGTGAAATTCAGTTAATACACGTAGTTTACAGAGATGCTGTATGAGAAACCAATGTGAGTTTGGAAAAATGCACAATATAAATCTATTTTAGTAGACCTCAACAATGGAATTATGATCAGTGGAAATGGCCATGACACCTCTCCTTTAAAATTATAGCTTTAAGATACTGTATACTCACTGACGGTCCTACGATGCCCCATACCACAACATTTCTCCCAAGAAAGCTCCTGATGTTTGAGTCAAAGAATTGAACATCAATGAATTTGTCTTAAGTTACTCCTACTTAAAGTCAACATGTAACTTCAGCTCATCACCTTGTCTTTCCAGTTTGCCCTGTCTCCATCAGACTTCAGCAGTAGTGACGTCCCAGAGGAGGAACTGGAGGAGGCGGCGTCTCGTGGTGTGAGGATCCTCTACAGTTTCCCGTGGGGACAGGAGCCCGTGGAGACGCTGTGGAGCAGAGGAAGCACCGAGCTGCTGCACACACACAACGGAGTCCACGCCAAACTGCAGGTCAGTCTGCTACCTCTTTTTAAGTGTCCTTCTCCGACAGTTTAAAGCCACTGTTTTTAACTATGTACTGATTTTTGTTTAACCAAATGATGAGATAATAATACATGCTTTATCACCTTTTAATGGACAATGTTATTTTTTAGAATCTTCTCTTTTAATCTTTGTTCTAGGCTAGGGATCAACAAACCTCCCCGAAATGAAGTGTCTCCCATAAATATCTGACACTTCCCTTCATATAGCTTTTTTACAGAAGACATTTTTAAGTCAGGAAAAACATAGGTGTGATTATTGATATTATTAATGACGGTAACACCTTTGGCTATCAGGCTACATCCAATGTGTTATCAAAGCTCGTACACACAATAAACTATTCCCTTCTATTGTTGCCTTTCCTCAGTGTAATCACATACAATGTTAATTCTCTTTCTAAACATGTTACAGTGCCGAGATGGTCGGAAATCAGTCCCTCACGTCATCTCAGTAACTGGGAACATGGACCGCGGTGTGATGGCCTTTCTATCCAACTCACTCCAGCAGCTGAAGAAAGAAGACAGCAAGAAGAAGATGCTGCAGCGAAAGGTGATAAACAAGAGCTGACACAGAGCCTGTTAAATAAGAACAGTTATCAGGATGTTTATAGCTTACTTTTATGTTGTGGTTTTCTGTGTTTCTGAATTTTGGTTCACTGTTAATTTCAGGTTCTGAAGTTGCACCCAGTGTTGGCTCCAGTTAAAGTGGCTTTAGATATTGGCAAGGGGGCCACTGTCGAGCTGCGACAGGTAAGAAAAACATGTCTTGGACTCACAGATAAGTTATTTTTTATCTTGATTAAATGTTTATATATAAATATGTATACATATCTGAAAGGGCTCGGTAAAAATTATCTTTTTTGTGATTGATATAATCAGCACTGAAGTATTTAATACAACTTGCTTGTATTGTAGGAAATAGAGGAACTATATTTAATCAGTGTTTGATTTTTTTGTAGGTTTGTGATGGGCTGCTGCAGGAGTTTATGGAGGCTAAGATTTCTACGTGGCCTGGGTATCTTGAAACAATGCCAGCATCAATGGAGCAGCTGAACACAAAGTAAAGTGCAAATCAGTATCTAAATTGATCATAAGGTGCAAATTATCATTGTGTCAGTGGACTAATCTGATTCTCTGTTGATGCATTTTAGGTATGATGAGATGGGAGTGCTTTTCACGGTGGTGATCAATGAGAACACGCTGGAGAGTGGCCTTCTTCTGGTCCGCAGCAGAGACACCACCATCAAAGAGACCAAGCACGTCTCTGAAATCAAGAACTTTCTCTCCACATACATTTCTGCTGCAGACAACCTCTGAATAGACTTTTTGTTATGGCAACAGGAAGGAAAGTCTGAACATTGTGCTGCTTTAGTTTTGAATCTCCTGCAGTTCAATTCAGGCTTTGTTGGAAGTTCCATGTGACTCGTATAGGAATTGTTGGAGATTTGGAATAAATGTTAAGTCAGTTTATTTTTGTCTCATTTTAAGCATTAAAGGATTCAGAATGTCCCCTAAATGTTTGACTTTTTTGTTGGGATTGTCCTTGTGCTCTTGCGTTAGTTGTGTTGTAGATTAGTTGAGTAACCTTGAGATTAAGATCATTCTTGACCCTGGAAGAACACATGAATCCCACCTCTACGTCTATATTATAGCTGTTCATAATCTTTCAATCATATTACACCATCATCATATTTAACACTTATTAAACTGTTGCAACACAGACTTTTAGGAGGATATTAGGTAAAATATGCAATTATAGTCACATCAAGACAACTAGATAGTTCATTGATCCATACATGAAGCTGCATCCTGGCTTATTATGTCATGAGTACTTCCTCCCCTGCTGTTTTTCATTATAACTTTGGAGTTTAAGTTATTATAGATAATAAACTTATGAGTGCTCTCAGTGTTCTTTAATATATTGTATTATTGGGGATTGTTTTGTATATCACTTGCAGCCTTTAACCTGTTAAGCCCCAAAGACCCCGTCGATGGGTCTTTTTTTTTCACAAATTAAAAAATAATAATATAATGGATAATTTTTTATTTTTTATTAATTTTTTTTATTTAAATTTTTTTTCTTTGGATGGAATGAATACCTATGGTGATAATTCAATGTAATACACCATTTGTATAGTCTGGTACCTGAAAAAGGTCAAATGGCACTGATGGAACCAGATGTACCCAAATGTGCCGAAAGCTTATTCCGCCTGGAACTTTTTTTGCTAAACCTCTCTAAAAAGGTCAAATTTAACTTGTTTTGCCTCAATCTTGATACAGGGTACTTATTATGTTATATGTTTGGATTTCTAAAGCTTTTAGTCTACCATCCCATCATTCAAGGGTGGTTTTCACTATAAGTAATGTTTTTTCTTTAGGCGGAGGTAAGAATTTACCTTTTTTTGCTATGTTCCATCTGAATTTACTCTGACTGAGAAAAATCTATATTGATTCTGACACTTCTACATCCAACTCACAGATGTAACCTTGCTTTGATAAAATAAATTATTCATATAACCCTTTTAGAAGTTAAGTTGTAGTCATTTGTTTTCGAGCCTGAAACCTGAAAAACAGGCTCGGGGCTTAACAGGTTAAGTGCATTAAAAATGAAAAGTAGTTCATAATGGAAAAACCTACAGATTTTCCCTAGGAGCAACCGTGGATGAATGACGAGAACAGTCAGCACCGTTGAGTGGACATGAAGACACATAAGGTTAAATCTCGCGAGGTTTGGATGTAGCTTCGCCCCTCCCTGTGTGCAGTCATTGGTCGCTCCCTGGTTCTACTTCTGACTGAGCATGTGTATGTGCCGCTTAGCTGTTAGCATTTAGAGATGGCCGCAGACAAGCAAAACGACACGAAAGTGTCCTCCCTTGATGAAAATAAAAACAAATCAGCGGATGGAGGAATTGGACTGGAAAGTATCCTTTGTAACAGCAGACGTGTAGCGGCGATTTTGTATTTGCTCTGGATGATCTGTGTCTAACTCAGAAGCTAACGGTAGCATGCTAGCTAGCTCTGTGAGGATAACGTTAGCTAAGGCTACGTGTCACACTGAAGCAGGCTGTCAGTGGCAGGCTTAAAAAGCAGATTAAATTGGGTTGATACACACTTATTTTGACGTCTAATGAAGTTAAATCATGGATGCATTTAAATGAACGAGGGCTACTTTAGACATGTTATTTACATGTAACGTTAACAGATGCCTTTGAGTTTCAGAAGCTGCTACGTTGATTTTCTGCAACAAATCAGCATCACAGTCATTCTGTATCTGTACTATACACTGTACAAAGAAATATGTCCGTATGTCCAGTGCTAACATGGCTGTAATATACATTCTTGATTATGAATGACAGATGTTAAGCTAGAGTATCATGTATATTTGTGTGATGATGTAGAGAATGTTGTCCCTTAACATTGATTTGCAGTTTTGCAAATAATCAAGGAGTCCCAGCAGCAGCATGGCCTCAGGCACGGAGACTACCAGAGATACAGGTGAGCTGTGCCCAGTCTTACTACATGACATTGACTACATGTCAACAGGCTGCAACAACTGGACTAGAGATGCCTGTGGTTAACTCTCTTATATTGCATGGCTGTCCACAAAGAGGTGCACAGGACTTTCGCCGTTTTTCATTTAAAAAATATACTTGGTGACCTAGGACTACGTATTCCCTGAATATATAAATGTATAACAGTATTTCTCTTGTGTTATACATTGAGAAAAGGCACCTCTGTCAGTGTCTACTAAATATGCACACTCTGAGAATAACAAATCTTCCTAAAACAATTAAGGATGATAGATTTTTAAAGAAAACTATGAAACCAAGTTGGAGAAAATGAACTGGCTGTGTGGACCATGAAGAAGATGTAAATGTGCTCCATTTAATATACTGTAACCATCTTTGTGTACATCTTTTCAGGGGTTACTGCTCCCGCAGACTGCGCCGCCTGCGCAAGACTCTTGGCTTCAAGATGGGCAACCGACACAAGTTTGTTGGGAAGAAAATAACTGTTGAAATGATTTCTGACAGCAGGTGAGTCAGTGGAGAGTTTTGAACTGTTGCAGTTAACTGGCTGATGAGCCTTATATACAGATCATAAAAGATTGACATGTGTTTGATGCAGGATAATAAATGCACCTCACAGATGAGCTCGGCCAGTTCCTAACAAAAGCATCTGCACAACACTTGAGTCCTACCTAGTTATGTACACCTCTCAGCTAAACCACAGAAGTAAACCTTGAAAGAAAAGTTTTTGTTGCTGAATTTAAATACTTGACTCTTAAAAAATGTTGTGAGGAATTCAATGTGTCCACTTTAAATGGAAATATGTGACTTAACACCTGATGCAATGTCCTCCCCCTCTTCAGGTATCTTTTGCTAGTTTTGATGGAGGCAGAGCGTGCATGGAGTTACGCCATGCAGCTGAAGCAGGAGGCCAACACGGAGCCACGTAAGCGCTTCCACCTGATGGCACGACTTCGCAAGGCTGCCAAGCACAGCGAAAGGCTGGAGAAGCTCTGTGAGAGCCCCCGTGTCGATGCTAAGACCAAACTTGAGGCACAGGTACAGAACCTCTTGAACCTGCTTTGAGGGGTGCAGTTGAATGTGCATTGTAAACAGAGACCACATATATATGCCATGATAATGCAGCCTTAAAGCTACCAAAGTATTTTCAGCCTTTCTCACATCGTCTATCAACTCAATACCACATTTTTAAGCTGGTTGTCACGATGTATGACACAAAAGTATTAAAGCCGTTTTTTCATAGGAACATTGTCCAAATAATGGTACTATGAGCAGCTCTATTTGCACAATCAGGAATTCCAAAGACTTCATTTAAGGGAGCTGGAAGTACTTTTGATTATGGTTCTAATAATTCAGAAATGTAGGTTCTCAGATACAGCTCCTAGGTAATGTCTAGATAATTTCAGGGTTGCCGTGCATGTGTAAAAAGAGGATATACATTGTTAATACCTACAGTAGAATTTAGAAGTTGAAGCTGTGTTACAGGAAGTATAACACATATTTTTATGTTTGTAACAGCCACTAACAATGTGCATGTATATTATTCAGGCCTACACTGCATACCTGACTGGTATGGTGGAGTTTGAACTTCAGGAGTGGAAGCTTGCCATGGAGGCCTTCAACAAGTGCAAGTGAGTTAAAACATCACTACAGTTTTTTTTTTTAACAAAATCACAATGATAAGTAGTGTTTTTTGTCATGTATGCATTTTACATGACCTTTTTTTAAAACATTTGACAACCTTTTTTTTCTTGCCAGGACCATCTATGAGAAGCTGGCCAGTGCTTTCACTGAGGAGCTGGCAGTGCTGTATCGCCAGCGTGTGGACGAGATATCCCCCAACATCCGCTACTGTGCTTACAACATTGGTGAGTAACGCACACAACGCAGTATCCCCCTCGACATAATTGACTGCCATCTTAAAATTGTCTACATACCGTGAGACATTTTTTACAAATGTCCCAAAGCTCAAATCACACCACCCTCTCTCTTCAATACACAAACACCATGTAACTGGATTATTTTTCCTTTGCTGATTGAAGGTGACCAGAACGCCATCAATGACTTGATGCAGATGCGACTGACTGGTGGAGGAGGAGGCATGATGGCCGAGAAACTAGAGGTAAACAAACAGTACATTATTATTTCTGCTTGTACCATGATTCATCTTGTATTGGTGAGGCCTTATCCAATGTAACGTGTGAAACACACTCACAATCCTCAACTATCCATGTGTGTATATATAATTGTTATTTTTGAACAAGCTCGAATATTCAAAGACCTTCTCTCATGTAGATCAGAAAATCAATATTTAAGTCAAAACAAACCTTTTTTTTTAAATTATTATTCTCCTCAGGCCCTGATCACTCAGGCGAGAACCAAGCAGGCCGCCACCATGAGTGAGGTGGAGTGGCGAGGGCGGTCGGTGCCCGTCAAGATCGACAAGGCCCGGGTCTTCCTGTTGGGTCTGGCAGACAACGAGGCGGCCATCGCTCAGGTCAGTATTTATAGTTACTGAGTGAACGGGTTAAATACAAAGTTTAGACCATGTTGTTGTTGTTGGCTACTCCATATAATTACATGTCAGCACTTTAAGAAAATGGCGGTTAGTTATTTATGGTTTGTGGGCTTTTTAATAAACATATGTGCAGGATGTCCCATGTCGCACTTATGTCGTTTCTCACTGACCAATCAGGCGTCTGCAGTGTTTGAATATCTACTTGTAGTTATGGCTCAATTTGCTTTAAATCTACATCATATCCTCAACTTATTCTAAGGTGGCTTCAG